TATATATATGAAATACTTTGACATTTAATAGTGGTCAATACTAATGTGAAAATTCATTTTTACTTTTTTTATCCAATATAAATTACCTCAAATTAACGAGATAGTGAGGAAAAATTTGTTGCTGTTGTCACACACTGTTAATTTCAATACATATGAAGGATTTTCCTTTTTAGTGGTGGTTAATATTTTAATAATTATCAAATATTAACGTGAAATCGACTTAATTTTACCCCACAACAGATTATCTCAGTTAACACCCTCGCCATTTGATATAAGCCACGATTGGAAATCAATGAACAATTTGATTTTGAAATCGCCACTGTATATAAGTCTGTAGAGGGAGATGCCTATAATTTCATTAATTATTTCAGCTAGAAATAAAATTATCTTCCTTTTTTCAAACAATGAACTCGATACTAATGCTCTGATCTTGACATTAAAATCAAAATAATTATTTATTGACATGCACATAATGAATTAATCCTGCAACTGTTTTTTTTTTTTATTAAACTACAAAATAGGTTCCGGTGCCCACGATGAAGTTTGGTAGTGAAATTCGTTGCAGCGACAAACTTTTAATTAAAGAATCGTGTTCCACAATGCGATAATGAAGAGTTCCATGCAGCCTGCTGTTTCTTCAATTAAAATCGGAACGATCATTTAGTGACAAAATCAGTGATGTTACAAATGTGATGCCGTCGGTTTGCTCTTTCCAATTAATTAATTCTATGTAGTTTATGAACGTCTATTCCGTTCAGCGCATCTACCCAAAATAATTAAATCACATCTACTAATTAGTGAACACAAAACGGCACTTTGGTGTTTTGTTTGTTGTTTTCGTCTTTGTTTAGGTAAAATTCAAATTTTGAAAAAAGTAAATCCAAAATGGTATACTCTATTCAGTATTGTACGCAGTAAGATCGAAAAGTTTCTGGCCTACAAATTTTATGTCATTAAATTATTAGACTTTTCGTTACCTGACCATACAAAATCATTAACGTGTCTAATATAATTTATTTCAGGCATTTCCGGGCGATTTCTGGAATTATATACATTTCCTAGGAATTGTATACAATGGCCGATCACACACACATTTCCGTTAACATATATATACAGTAAGCAGAATTCGTGACGGACAGTCAGCCAGTCGGACGTCTTAACCGTTAGCAATTTATATGGTAATAGCTTATCAAAAGGATATTTTTAACCAAATCACAATTAAAGTTCATAAACAATTTCACTGTGTTTTTGTCGTTTCTTCAATTATCTGCCAACAAAATGTTAATAAAGCGTTGTGAAAAGTGTATTGAAATAAAGGAAGACTATATTGAAAAATAATAACAGGCTAGAAACTTGTAGACCTTACTGGATGAAAGAAAACCACGAATTTATTTTAAACTCATGATTTTTTCAACACCAAAGAAGTTTCTTAACATCGATAAATAAGAATTTCAAGTAATGTTTTTCCTTTAATGTTAAAAACATTTTTGCAAATCTCTCACTATTGTAGGAGTATGGAATAAAAGTCCAATTGCCAGTTGAGGATAAGACACTTTTTCGGGATCAGTCAGGAAAAACGATATGATATCCATCGGATCTAGTGCAACAACCATAAGGGCCGCCCAATAACTGTATATTTTCAATAAAATATTTAATACAGGATGCTTTGATTTATATGAAATAAAACCAGATGCCACATAATTAATATAACATGAATAGTATTGCTTTTCTTTAAATATTTCGGAGACCATTTTATAATTTCTCGGACTTTACTGATACGCTATCTGTAACTTTCTGTCTATTACATTGTACTGGATAATACTGGATGTTCAAAATCAAAAATTAAGTATTCAATTTAATTGGCTAATGATACGTGTATGCTACCCATTATTGCTGTGGTGAATTGTTAGATTTAAATATTACACATGTAGGTAATTGGACAAAATGATATGGTATTGTATTAATAAATTATTGACCCTTCAAAAAGAAATTCAGATCGCAAGATTCTCCTAACCGCGGTTATAACTATACTTCATGAAATATTTAACGGCCACCATCATCAGGATTCCAGTAAATAAAATAGAATAATGTACAACTTGATCAACAAGTCTCTCAGAAACTCAGTGTGTGTTGAAGAAAATACAGTTCAGCAAATTTATACATTTGAGAATTTCCACGATTTTGATGTTTAGACCAGAAACATTCGATATGTCCTGATCTCCGAAATTTAATTTGAATTTTGCGGTATTGTAGAATTCCCAAAATTGAGTATAACTTTTCATTGATAAAGCTCGTTATTGAAATTATATTTTATTCACTCTCTTATAGTTGCTTATTTGAACTTGGTTGACTAAATCAATTATTACAAATTTGATTTTTAGATGTTTTATTAGTCATCATATTATTTGAAAA